CAGCCCTTGAGATATTTGAAGGTTGTTTGACCACACCTCCTCCCACCCTCTCCTTGAGTGCTGTCCTGTGTGCTTGAATTGTGATCATGCCTTTGGCTTCCCTGGGTGAAGAAATGCGTGTTGTAGGGATGGGGAAACCTCTGGTGTTTTCACAACTGGAATGTGACCTACTTACTATGCACTTTCATTGCTCTGCCTATTTTTGCACTGGGCCATGTCATGGCCCCTTGAAGGTTGGTCATGTGGGAATCTGGCCTTGAGTCTGGAATGGGTTTCACCATTCCTGATCTAAAGAAATCTAGCACCATACAGATAGCAGCAGTACCGCTCCTTCCCTGTCCCAATGAGACTGCAGTGAGAGACCCACTACTGAAGAAACCATCACTTAATCATTCTATAACAACTATTAAGTATCAGTCTCACATTTGGAGGGGGGGTTGGGGGGAAGGCTCTTGAGAAGCCATGGGTCTGCCCATGAGTCTGACCAGCAGGGGCTCATACAGACCTGTTGCACTTGATAAGAAAAAGATGCACACATCTGCTTTTAAACCTTTGAAAATGCTAGGTGGAATTATTACAGGGTAACTGTTTGTCCTCTGAACTGTGCACCAAGCATTAAATATGATAGGCAAGTAGTTAAATATGTCCGTTCACAACTTTTCAAAATTCTGATCAGAATGTTCCTAATTGGGGAGCTGATTTGGTAGCAGTGGTGCCCAAAGTAACATTATGTATATTCTGCTTTGTTGCCATTTTAGGATTTACAGTGTGTGTTATTAGCACTATTAAGTACCCATCAAAAGCAGAAGTGGGTCCCATGTTGAAGGTTGGGTCTCAGGTCTGGACCCATTGACCTGCTAACTGGACCAGCTATCTAAACCAACCATATGCATTTCGTGTTTTTCATATTGTGGTTTTATGTTGTGAACCGCCCTGAGATCTATGGGTATAGGACGGTATACAAATAAAATAAAATTCCACCTACTCTCTAAAGTTAAGAAATGCCTTCCTAAAAACACACACACACACAACCTGTACTCAAGAGGCTAGGACGGTGCAGGGATGTAATCTTTCCAGCATCAAACTCCTGGTCCTAATGCTTTGTTCTTAGTGGGTCTTCTGCTTCTCTTGCTATTTCTTTCCTAGTATGGAAGATCCTGTTCAAAATTGCACGGCTGTTCAGTTGAATGGCTAGGTACAATAGCTGGAAAAGTCAAGTTGCACCTGACCAAAGTTATATTCACTTCTAGCCTTCAGGAGGACGGAGGTTGCAGTTTCTGAAGAAGCCAAGTGTTGGCAAGGGTCTATTTGAAAAAGAAGCAGACCAGAACTAAATTATCGCAGTCCTCTTATATATTGTCTTCTTTCCCCGGTAGTTGCTTTCTGAAGCCTCTGCTTCCACTTTTCAAGGTTCGTTAGCACTTGAGAGTTCAGTAGGAGATCACGGAACAGGAGGCAGGAAGTTCACGGTCACCTCCTAGCAGAGATTGCGAAGATGGGAGAGCCAAGAAGACACGGCAAACCTGTGGTCCTCTAGAAGTTGGGATCCAACTCTCATCAGCCCTGACCATTGGCACTGCTGGTGGAAATTGACAACATCTGGAGGGCCACAGGTTCCCCATCTCCAGTGGGTCCATACAGATGTGGAATTACTGACAGGGTGACCTTTGTCTTCATTCTGGATACCAATCCTATAAAGAGCACTTAACAGTTCAACCCAAAGGATGTCTGCTCACAATTAAGCTCTGTTTTGTCCCATGTGGCTTAGTTCTAAATGTGCATGCAGTTGCAGGCTATACGAACTTCTGGATCTACTCAAGGGTTGTGTGTTTGGCTACTGCAGTTGGCATCATAGTGGAATCTCATTTTGAGCTTCGGCGGCAGCAGAAATTGCTGCAACTGAATGCTGTGGCCCCAGAGGAGAGGCAACATTTCATAACAGCTGGGCTGTCGGCTTGCCAGTAATCCCTGTGGGAGTTGTCAAATGTGTGGGCCAGCCCAGAGAGTGTGGATGTGAGTGCAAGCGGGGTTGGACTGTCAAGAATACAGATGTGGAGAGCGCCTCAGGTGAAGAGGAGAAGCTAAGTTTCGGATGTGGAATGTGACAGCGAGCAGTGAACATAGTGTGGGCAAGGGTAAATCTTTTAGGTTTTGGGAAAGACCAGAGGAGCAAAGTTTTGGAAAAGGAGTATGTCAAAATAAATGCCGCTTTGTTCCATACATTTAAAGCACTGCTGCTTCGAGACCAACCAATTTATACTCCCCATCACTGCTTCCCCAGGGATTGGTATTCAGTGGATGTAGCTTTAAAATCTTGGGAGAATAGCTGTTCAAGGAGCCTTCAGGTAACACGAGAGAAGCAGAAGGGCACTGGGAAGACTTTCAGAACCGCAAACATTTAAATCTAGCAAAATACTCTATGCCTCATTTGTTTGCAGCTCTGAGGCATCCATTGGGTTTCAGTTTATTTATTTATTTTGCAAAAAAGAGAGAGAGAGCGCGAAGTCTTTTCAAAGAATAGGCACCGTGGGAGCATTTTACCTTCTGTCAAATCTTCTTAAGAAGGAAGCCACCAGAGCAAGCACAGAAGGCTAGAGGAGGAGGAGACTCCCAGCTAACTGTCCCCTGGCAAACATGAGTTTGGATAATGGTGCTGAATGACCTTGGTCATGCCACCATATCACTTCAAGCTTCCTCATTGCCTGCCTCCACAGAATCCAGTGTGGGTTGGTGTTTTTTTTTATCGCCCATCCATTTGACTTTGAAGGTACCACAAGACTCTGTTTGCTTTGTTAAAGACCAGCAGATTCATTGCAGCATAAAAGTTTCGGGAGTAGAGCTCGCTCACATCTGGGGAAACAGGCCCTAGAATCACAGGAAGCTGCGTTTATACCAAGTCAGACCATTGGTTCATCTAGATAAGTATTTGTCCGCACTGAACGAAAGAGTCACTCCAAGGTTTCTCTCCTGCGATTGAACCTGAGACCGTCTGCATTCAGAACAGATGGTGTGGCCCTTTGCTAAACCACAGAGGCTTACTCCATGGTACATGTTTGCCCCTTGTTTGTGTCGGGATCTGCGTTCGACCGAGCTGATAAAGCTCATCTTCCTCTGGCCGAGTCCTTCGGAATTGCCCCCGACGTGATTGACAACCTGAGCCTTTGATGAGGCTCCAGGCACATCCCATTCAGCAGAGAATCCAAAACAGCACGCGGAAGTAATGAGATTTATGGCTACATCGCTATGCTTTATTTCTTACTACGCAGACAGCAAAGAAAAATACATCCTCTCTCTGTGAGAGCAGAGAGCAACTGAGACAAAGGAACAGGAAACCAGTAACGTCACATCCGTCTCCCATCTCCCGTGAGACTTCCAACAGCCTGGAAGGTCTCTGGAATGTAAACAGAGTCTTGTGACTCTATGCAGCTGCACAGTGGCAAACAGAAACTAATAGTTTGCGGCTCTTCTGTAACAGATTTAATGTGGCTAACCTTCTTGGCTTTACTAAAGCAAAATAATTTAGAGGTTTTTTCAGCTTCAGAGTGAATTTGAGTTTGCCATGTGCTTCAAAAGGAGGAAGGTCCACTGCCCCGTTGTAAAGCATCTAGCTTTATATCAGTCATTGACATTACAAAACTTCAGGCAATGAAACTGGGCAAGCTGTTGGCCTGAGAGCAACAAAAGTTGACAGTTTTTGTGTTAATGTCAAAGCTGTTCCATAGGCAGCCCTCAAGCCAGAGCTAAGCAGCCCAAAAGACCCTGTAAATGTTATTATCGACAAAGCAAAAGTCCTAGCCTGAACAGTAGGCTTTTCTAATGCTTCCTGTTGAGGAGAGCCAATGGCCAGCCTGGCTGGGTGGAGGCAATCCCTTTACTGCAGGGGCAGCCAATGTGGAGGACACCACAGGCTGTGGACCACAACCCCCATCCTCCCTCACCATTGGCCATGTTGACTGGTGGTGATGCGAGTTGGATTCCAACAACATCTGGAAGGCACAATCTTGGCTTATTCTCCTTTGCGATCAAAGGAGATGCTTCATCTTGTAGCGTTGTTGGCTGAAGATGTGCATAAGCCATTGATTTCTGAAAGTGTACGCAGCAGTTCCTTGCAGTTAGATCAATCACTGGTCTATCTTCAGAAGTGGGCAGCTCCCTAAAATTAGACGTGGATGTCTTCCTATGCCTATTAGTCCATTGACATATTGGAGGGAATTAAAGACAACTAATTGACAGAATGTAGACCTGCATCCTACTATATTGCTGTTAGCATTTCCTTTCCTGCCCTGCCTTCTGTTGAGTGTCTAGACTAGAGTTGTTCATTCATACAAGGCTTTTTGTAGATGCCAGTTTGTTTTAAGAGTTGTTTTTCTCGCTGCTCAAGGTCACCAACAGCTTTGGCATAGCATTAGTAGAATGAAAAAGAGATGTGGGGCATATCTTGCATGACACAGACTTCTGAACCTTTATCTTTCAAGTTCCCAAAGTCCTTTTAATAGTAGATCTTGCTTATTTTAATGAGCCTCATTATACCTCGTTTGTTCAGCTCTCTTGTGTGCTGCCATATGGCTCCGGTGGCTACCTAGTGAAAATGTATTTATTATCTCATAAAACATATATATAGAGATGTCAGATGCATGTAATTAAAGGAATTGTCTTTTGAGATATATATATTTTATCAATTAACCACCTGGAGCTTCCTAGCCAAATCTTAATCAGCTAGCTGACGGAAGACATCTTGAAACCATGTCTGGAAAGAGGCAAGCAAAGATCTATATATACATTCAGGCATTCACGAAAGTGTGATAATTGTAAGAAGTAAGAATGGGGGGCAGGATTCTATTCAGTTCACATTTAGAGGCGAATTTCCTAATTCTCATTTCCTGACGCACAGCCGTTGTTGGAAATTTTCCAAATTTTGCAGTGTAGTTCTACACAAATTCATATACTAGAGGACAGTGCACATTAGAATGCACATGTTAGTGGAAAAAAAGAATAAAAAAGTAGCTCAGTTGTTAGAGCATGAGACTCTTAATCTCAGGGTTGTGGGTTCAAGTCCAACGGTGGGCAAAAAGATTCCTGTATTGCATGAGATTGGGCAATACAGATGATCCTTACAGTCCCTTCCATCTCTACAATTCTGTGATTCTGTGAAAATGCATGATATTAGGGGAAATTGCATAGGAAAATGTGTACACTGGGAGAAGTTCGCACTCTTGTTTTTTTTAATAAACTGATGAGGAAATGTAGAGAGCTGAACCAAGATTGGAAAAACAAGAAACCCAAATTGGCAGCTCTGACTATCCCTAGTAGAAAGCAGAAGGGCAAGGCTGTGAACTTTCATCCCCGCACTGCACCGCGTACTCCTCCCTGGCCTTGAGCTTATATCTGTGTTCCTCACTTGTATCCCCCCACCCTTTTTTTAATGGTAATATTTGGACCCTGCTTTGCTTGGCATATCTCCCAGTTCTAGTTGTTAGAATTCCTGCTCCATGATTGCAGTCATGGGATTTTTGTCTATCACATGATGGTGTATGTTTTGACTCCACAGAGTGGGAAGTGACAAAGACAGGATGTTTGCATTACTGTGTTCCGTGAAGTGGGACTATTGTCCTTTGTCCTTTTCTCTTTGCTGTCTGATGCTAGAGAGAGAGGGAGCCATGTTGCAGTGCTTTGTGTGTGTTTATATGTAAATAAAGTAGATTAGCCAAAATGCTGAGTTGCTGGGGTCTGTCACGCACATGATGCGCAAACTCTGCAGATCCCTAAGTGTGCCAGTGTTGGTTGGCATCGGTCGCTGTGATGTTCAGGCTGAAGAAAGCTTTTGAAGCTCCCGAACGATCGACCAGGAGGGAGAGAACATGCCAGTTGGTCATGTGTCTCTGCCAGGGTCCTACTCAAGTGTAGGCTGAACTCTTGACACTAGTAAGAGCACAGAGTAGAACACTTAGGCTTGAGATCTAACCCCCTGCCCCCAACATATGAAACATTTGCTGGAAATGGGTGGCATGTTTTAATTTCTAGAGAGAGAGGTGCAGAGACTCAGACCATATAGGCCAGAGAGACTCCTTAATGCAATGTGCAGATGGAGTATGGGCAGAGCAGGTTGTGTTTGCTAAGGCACATTTTGACTACATTCCAGCTACCTGGTAGAAGCAATTGTTGGCTATCAAGCCTGGCCATGATTTTTTTGACTCCTGGGAAGTACCTTTCCTTCCTACAAGTCCATTGTGTGCTGGCAAATGATGTCCACATGCTCTAAGTACAGATCCCACGCTTTCCACCTGCTTCTTGAATGGAATGGCATCCTTGCTTAACCAGGATAGCTTATCACATCAGGAAGGAACTAGTGAAAACTTGAGTTCACCTTGACACACTGAATATTGTGAGATACACCGAAACAGCATAATCCTCACAAAGTGATTTTTATGACATCAATTTCCTGTGTGGATTATGGTGTTTGAACATTCCTGGTGTGATAAGAGATGTTAGGGGAACATGTCAAGGTGGACTCGTTTTCCAGTCATTCGCTCCAATTTCCTACCACACTGAACATTTGAATTGGTCCTCGGAGACAATTGGAATGTAAATTCAAGAGTTTATAGCTTTCTGACTGAAAATGGGTGTATGTTTTTGTCGGCAAAGCCTGTGGTTTTTTTAGCAAAAGTAACTTGAGTTTCCTCAGCTACCCATACACTTTGCCCATATGATGCCAGTCTGTAATGCACAGACCCCTTTGCTATGTGCAGGTCTCTTGCTTCAATAGTATCTGTGCAAGCAACATAACACTTGAGAGTCCTTAAGGGATGCGGGTGGCGCTTTGGGCTAGGACTTGCTGATCAGAAGGTCGGTGGTTCGAATCCCCGCGACGGGGTGAGCTCCCGTTGCTCGGTCCCTGCTCCTGCCAACCTAGCAGTTTGAAAGCACGTCAAAGTGCAAGTAGATAAATAGGTACCACTCCAGCAGGAAGGTAAACGGCGTTTCCATGTACTGCTCTGGTTCACCAGAAACGGCTTAGTCATTCTGGCCACATGACCTGGAAGCTATACGCCGGCTCCCTCGGCCAATAAAGCGAGATGAGCACCACAACCCCAGAGTCGGTCACGACTGGACCTAATAGTCAGGGGTCCCTTTACCTTCACCTTTAACAGATCAACATTCAGTGGTAAAGGGCATTCTTTTCTTTAAAAAGGGATCTGCACCAAAGGCCTTGGAGATCAACTGACCATTAGAGCTAAGGGTGTAAGGGAAGATGGACCAATTGTCTAACTCTCTGTATAAGCCAGTTCTTTATATCCAAGTATGCTGTGATCTCAAGGAGACAGCAGGCTCACTCATAACTGAGCTATGGATGTTGTGGAGAGTTTTCTACAGAGCTGTGTCTCTCATGACTTAAGGAATTCTGTCTAGAGAGGAAATGCTGCAAAGGATTCTGGGACATGTTCTACCACACGCCTTGTTAATTTTAGGTTTGTCTGGCCTCACCACTGCCCCATTTGAGGTGAGAGTTGTGCCATAGGACATACCCAACACTTTCTTATGTCTGCATAAGAAAAGGATGTAATAATAAAAGGATGTCACATAGAGGAGGGAGAAAGGTTGTTTTCTGCTGCTCCAGAGAAGCGGACACGGAGCAATGGATCCAAACTACAAGAAAGAACATTCCACCTAAACATTAGGAAGAATTTCCTGACAGTAAGAGCTGTTCGACAGTGGAATTTGCTGCCAAGGAGTGTGGTGGAGTCTCCTTCTTTGGAGGTCTTTAAGCAGAGGCTTGACAACCATATGTCAGGAGTGCTCTGATGGTGTTTCCTGCTTGGCAGGGGGTTGGACTCGATGGCCCTTGTGGTCTCTTCCAACTCTATGATTCTATGATTCTATGCATGTTGTGGGGAAAGACGAGTCATGAATGGATAAGCTGTCCTTCGGTGAAACTCATTCGCCACTCCTGAACTTAGGGACTTTGATAACTTTCGAGGGGTTTCCCTGGAACACAATCTGAAAATCACAGCTGTTGAATATAAGCTGTCATTACAGGATATTAGTTTTTGTTATAGAGCAGGGGAAGCCAACATGGTGTCCTCCAGATGTCGATGGACTACAACTCCCATCATCTCAGACCATTGGCCATGCTAGCTGGAGTTGAAAGGAGTTGTGCTGCAATAACAAATGGAGGTCACCACAATGTCTGCCCCTATTACAGATTTTGTAATCCCATTTAAGAACATGTGAGACTGTTTTCTGGAGCTGGCTTCTTTGGGAGCCAGAAAGTTAATTGTGAAATAGTTGTGTGTATTTTCTGCAGGTGGTATGGTAGGAAGAACTTTGTCTTCATTGCTAGCACAGATCGAACCCTCTGGAGAGGTCTTGTATTAATTTGTGTCTTGTATTAGAGGACTGGGAACTTGCTTCCTTTCCCTCACCTGGCAGCTAACACCAAAAGAATTATGTTTGCACAGTCAAAAGTCTGTTCTGGGGATGGTGACACGAGAGGACACAGAAAGTCACAGCTCGAGCCCTTGTTTGTCTCTCAGCAAATTATGTAGCCATCACATGCATCTCCAGATTTACTATCTCTGAATCTAATTTAGGGTTCGGGTCTCGGGCTTAAATAACTGGCTGGATAACTTGCATAACTCTGTGCATAACTTGCAGAAATAGTTACAGCTTTTGTGTGAGCATTCTTTATGATGGGTTATTTCAGCTACAAACAATGCGCGTTCCCAAACCCAGTGAGATCCTTGCGCTCTGCTTTTGCAGAGCCACGTCACGGAGGATAGAAGGTAACATCTCCAGCTTCTAGGGTCAGACACATGAGTGAAAGTCAACCGGAAATTGTCAGGCAGAGAATTGAGGCCAAGGTAGATTACCAGGAGGCATCTTAGACAGGTGGAGGTGGGTGTGGAGAAGGGTTGCCTAGGAAATCGAGAGACTGTGGCTGGCATCAGTGGTGGGCATTGCCAGGCACCTGCTGAGGTTCATGTCTTAGTAGGGGAGTTGCAACTGTCTACCAGAGCCCCCTGCCTCTTCTTGCCATTGGCTGCCTGCTGTCTCTCCCTCTGGCGAAATAGGAGAGGGCAAGTGGATAGCAGGAACCAGAAGAAGGAGCAACAACTGCTGCTGCCTCCTCATTCACTTGTGCCTCAAGGCAGCAGTAGGGACTGAGCCCAGAGGGAGCGTGTTAGTGCCAGATAGAGGATATCTCTGTCCAGTATATCTGAAGGAGCATCTCCACCCCCATCGTTCTACCCGGACACTGAGGTCCAGCGTCGAGGGCCTTCTGGGCGGTTCCCTCACTACGAGAACCCAAGTTACAGGGAACCAAGGAGAGGGCCTTCTCGGTATTGGCACCCGCCCTATGGAACGCCCTCCCGCCAGATGTCAAAGAGAACAACAACTACCAGACTTTTCGACGACATCTGAAGGCAGCCCTGTTTAGGGAAGCTTTTAATTTTTGATGCAGTACTGTATTTTAATAGTGTGTTGGAAGCCGCCCAGAGTGGCTGGGGAAACCCAGCCAGATGGGTGGGGTATAAATAAATTCTTCTTCTTCTTCTTCTTCTTCTTCTTCTTCTTCTTATTCTTACTATGATTATTACTATTTTGACACAGGGCCCCTCAAAGCCTGGTGCCAGCATGGCAAAAGTCTTCTGCAGGGACAGAAATGGTTGCATGACTATACAGGGGACAGAAATAAGGGTGTATGCACTGTAGGTGAAGCTACTACTCCACGGCATAGACAAAAAGTCAGCTCACTGGAAGGATTTTTGTAGGGGACAGGAACAGCCAGGACCTAACCATGTTGGAACTGGATAGAGCAAGGCAGAGTCCCTCACAAGCAGCTTGTGATAAAAACTCATTTATTGCTTTTCCAATCAGCAGTCATGGCAACTAGAGCAATGCTCTGTTCCAACTCCCAGAAGGCCTGCAGTTTGAGTCCACCTCTGACTCATGACCTTTGCAGGTTATAGAATAGCAGACACTGCTCCTCTGGAGAGGAGAAGCACCAGCCACTTAACAAATACCAGTGTCTCCCTTATTCTTGCATCCCACCCCCTAAGCAGTCCACG